GCGGGCCCCATATAGTAAATATCGCATTGGTTTTATTGTCACGTGTGCGCCAGCTGACTGTGGTACCAATATGTGCATAGTTGTGCAAATCGGGAGGACGGTTATATTTCCCGGTGTCTTACTGAGTTTCGAGAGTAGGCGAATTCATTACAGCTCAGCATATACCTACCGGAGTTTCTTTTTTGAACAAATATCCTGGGAGGGTGCACAACACATCTCTGTGAAGGTCACGTGTCTGTCTTCCACCAATCCCTAGCATTTACGATTGAGCAGGCTCCATCAGTCGTTAGACTATCATGAAAGACGACCCAGACAAATAACCAACTAAATATAAAATCTCTTGCAATGGTAGAATCATATTAAATCTAACGAATTCTAGGAAGTTAGGATGGAATATCAGGATTCGATTTTTTTTTTATATAGCTGTGTTTTGCTGCCCTCAACGGTGGACATAATTTCGTTCTCGGTATTCGGGAAATCTGCTTGTTTCACGGGGAAACAGTATGGTGATGCATTAGACAAAAAGACTTTGTATTTACATGCAAACTTTGGTGTTTTCAGTTTTGAGTGATGATAAATTTGAAAACAATATCTGCAAAGAAGAAAATCATATGAGAAAATATAACTGTAAAGGAGTAAAATACACAACAATTTCATCCCGGGATTTCATCCAAAAAATGCTCAAAACTATGACTGTAACACAGGTAATTTCACACCGCTACATCGCCTCCTGCCCTCAGTTTGAAATTAATTATAAACACGTTGTGTTAAATGTTGTATTACATATTGTTATGACCGTTACTAAAAAACAATATCCAACATTATAATAATAATAATTTTATAACTCAACAAGTATCATCTGAGGGTACTGCATGGTAGACAAAAAATAAAATACATTTCACAGACAAAAAACAAATAATACATTATGAGAAACTATTAAAAAAATATATATATATTAACAAAAAAAACAATTGTTTTTATTTAATTTGGTATATTGTATTTTTTAAATATTTAGCCAATGCTATACTACAATTGAATAATTATTAATTATTTATTCTTTTCTTTTTCTGGTTTCTTCAAATAAGATTTTCCTTTCCTCCGATACAGTTGACAATCTAGGATGAAGTGAATTTTATTCTCGGCTACATCATTTTATTGCATTTTTCTGGTTTTCTTCTTCTACCTAATTCTATTTCCAAATTTTAGTCACAGATTCAAAAGTTTGTCACAATTCCATGACCAAACAAAAAAGTCATTCACTGCCAAGTCAGCTAACTACACATGCGGCACCCCCCCCCCAAATAATTCACTGAAATAACTAATACTATTCTGTACATTTAGTAGTGGGGGAGTATGCTATATTATAGCGTTCATAATATAGAAAATAGCAAAACGTGGAATGAATAGAGCATCATGGGTATTTTCTATTTAACTACAAACTTTATTTGTTTACAAACTGCAAAATGACGAGTGGCTATACCACATCATGATTGAAATCGCCTTCCATCGACCATTCAACATAAACATCTACAGTTTATAACACATATAATGTAAAGTATATACCTTCATTCACAATTCTGATCATGACAAGTATTTCAATGCAAAATTTTGTAAATTTTAGTTTTCTGGGTATTTTTTGTTTTGTTTATGTTCCAAAACAGGCAGAGACACAAATAGTTTCACATTTTTGCGCTGCTTTTAGAGTAACTCGCTATTCTATGTTACTTTTTCCTTGTTTTTTCCTGTTATATATTCATGACCACATCACCTTGCCTGTGTGTGTATACAGTTTTGTGTATTTGGGTACCAGTTAACGAGCATGGGTATGGGGGAGGGGTTGTTCCCTGATTAAAGGCTCAGAAGTGAATGACCTGTTTGATTGTTTTTAACCATATTACTATTGTGTCATGTGTATTGGACCCTATATGAATTTAATATTGAGAAAGAGATTATCCTGCATGAATAACAAAATTGATATTATTTTGTTTTGCTTTCAGGGAACGTGGCATTTTCGGCGACGCGGACATCACCGCTCTTAGGCGATAGCAGCGAAGCACAGAACATAACATTCGACCTGGCGTTCGTCAATGAGGGTGACGATTTTGACCTGGATACGGGAATATTCACTTGTGAAGTTGAGGGGACATATTACTTCTCGTTCACGATGCGTTCCTACGACGCAAAACACATCGGTGTTATCTTGATGAAGGGCAATGAAGGCGTAGTTTCCATGGCTACCGACGCAGACGACAGGAGCGTCATGCAGACACAAAGTGTAATGTTAACGCTAAGTGTCGGTGATCTCATTTATCTTAGATTGACGCCATCAGAGGACTTTGCGATTTATGGAAATTCTTTCAACTATATAACGTTTAACTCCTTTCTCGTATTTGCGTAAAAGATGATTATATTGTTGATATTTACATTTTTTTTTTTTGATTTTATCAAAATGGCTATAAATTCGAATCTTTTCTTGTGACAAAAATGAAATAGCTCCAATCACAATAAATTAGTTTTTGTTTTCTTGGGCTTTGTTTGAACTAATGATAGAGTTATTGTTGAGAGATTTGGGCTGAGAATAATCTTTTTTTTAAAAAAACAATACTGAGATGTTTACTGCAAATATGATATATTTCAATTTCAATATCGGTTGGTTTTCACTAAAAAAATCCACTTATCCATTGGAGGTTTTCTGACATGATACATAAATAGCGACCACGTCGTTCAATCGCGTCGTGTTTGATATGGTACCATGCAACGAAAATAACGCGTGCAATAATACATTGTTTGTTAACGCACAATTCTGAACGCAGTTTGCAATATAGACGTAATACACGGTAAACAAGTTTAAAACATTAGTTTCAAAATAAATTCAGTGTCCAGTGAGTTACGCTCTCTATCGTTTACAAATACGCCTATTGAGGGCGCACGTTTGTAAATTTGAATGCAGAATTGTTGTCTTTTACTGTCTTATATACGTTTGGTGTTCTTTGCCTATTATTCATAAATGGAATGTAGCTGCACTTAGGACGTAGTTTGTAGTGACCGTACGTGGTACCATCTCTGTTCCAGTCCATAAAATTATATCATGTCTGACGGTAATTCGGGAATCGGGTTTCTTCATATTAGTCTTCACAAACAGCAAACAATTTTGAATACGTTTCGGCAAGCATATACAAGGAACGTGTTAAATCAGATTGTTATGCAAAGTTCCTGATCACCGTGCAAGAACATGCACCAAAAATGTATGTATACCAAAGTGCATTTAAATCCATCGAGTGGTTCTTCCGATATGAGATGGACACGATTTGACACGAACTCCGAACAGTTCGATACGTGTCACTTATCATCACTGCACAAAGCAGCTTTGCATATGACTCATTTGCATATTCGAATGTGTTCGAACAACAAGAACCTCTGCGGTTAATACAGTTATGCGTAAATCACCTGTTTACTTTAATCAGTTTAATACACAACGTTTTACGCTCTGACTCCGAATAAAATGTTCTGTTCATTGAATTAAAATATACATGAATTGCGTTGGAAAAGTGCTTTCAAAAATGTAAGATTAGTATTAGATTATACAATAAATGACCAACCCTATAAACTGACTAGAAGCTTGTGTTCTATGACTGTCAGACGCGAAAAATCGAAACCGTTCAAAACAGAAATAATATTGAAATATTCACCGGAATACAAGATTAAAAGGGGATGTTTGGGAATCCCTTTGAGTGAAATTAGTGTTTAATGTTTCTTTCCCAACTATGTACATAAGCAGAACGTGTTTCCCCCAGTTTTAGTTTATCACGTGTAACATTACCTTGCACAACGTAGTCCGCGCTAAAATTGTTCGTATTTACGCCTCCGCGGAAATCAGGCATTAATAAATAGTTCGGTTGTCACAAACATTTTTTTCTACTTTTTGTAGTACGTTTTCAGGTAAAACAACTGCGAAAAAAAATACCGTGCGTAGTCGGGTGATTGACCACAAAATTGAAGGCTGCCTGTGGCAGAGGTACTATTGCGTAACACGCACTGGTAATGGGAAGGAGATTGGATTTGACACAGACATACAGTTACGACATCATCTCCTGTTTGTGTTCCAAAAGGCGGGAGCATGTGACTTGGTAAACCCTGAATAACTCAATCAAAATGTCGATGGTCAAAAATGGTTGTAACATGTATGTTAGTTCCTATATTTATTGATTGAAGGCGCGTGTATGTTTTTTTTTACCGAAATATATTCGATTTTATAATAGTTAATATAATATTGATTCTTAGTGCATAATTGAAACACATGTTGGTTCTAAAAATAAATTACTATGTTAAAGTTCAGATGAGCATGGATACACCCGACATACAATTTCGTGTTATAAACAAAAAGCTACGATAGTTCTATATCTCTTGCTTTCGCTGTGTTTGTTATCGACGACTTTGATGTTAAGAATACATCGATGAATTCGGTTAGATAGTCGCCATCTTGGATTAAACTTCACAGCAAGTAACCTTGCATAGTTTTTTGGAGAAAAACAAAACAATTTCGGACCATCTATCTCTAAATACATGGCATATTAGTTTTTGTTTCTATGGAACGTATGAATGATAGCTAAATACTATTCTAGAAACTCCAGATATTGAAAACACAGTCTGTGCTAAGATAATCCGTAGTGTGTTAAAGGACGCAGCTGGGAAATGTCACATGATTAGATCAAATAAAAGTACTAAGCGCGACCAACTAATATGGTTTGATACAGAATTCACTTCATATAAAAAGAAACAACATAAACTATTGCGAAGATTCCACCAAACAAATAATGTACACCATTTACGCGAATACCAGGTTGTTCGCAATAAATTCAAAAATATATGCAGGAACAAAAAACGTGAATACTTGGAAAACCAAAGAGCTAACTATTTGTCGCCTCAAACAAATTCTAAGCTGTTTTGGTCAACAATTAGACGCAATAGTACAATCAGTAATAACATCCCACCTGCCATACAAGCAAACCAATGGCATACTTTTAAAAACTCTTTTCTTGTGCACCTATAAGTAATGAATTCGTCTATCAGAGCAAATCGTTAAGTTACTTGGAGTCTGTGAATGAATTTAATTATGCAAATGAAATTGACTGGAACGTATTATATAAAAGAAAGATAAATCACCAGGACCTGATGGTTTGCCTGGCGAGTATTTTAAATCTTCTGTAAATATAATATTGCCATATCTACACGTCTTGTTCAATAAGATCTTTGATTCTGGCGAAATACCAACTGACTGGTCAAATGCAATCATTATACATATATAAAAATGGGTCGAGGGTTGATCCAGGGAGCTATAAGACAATTTCACTACTTGATATTTTTGGGAAACTTTTTACGTCAATTCTTAATGTACGTTTAAACTTTTGGGCAGATGCGGCGGGTTTTCGTCATGGATACTCGACAACTGACAACATATTTATCCTTCAGGCAATTGTTCATAATATATATAACCAAAAAACCTGGTAAATTATACTGCGCCTTCGTGGATTTCTCCAAAGCATTTGATAATGTAGAGAGACAACGTCTTTGGTATGTCCTACTTAAAGGGGGAGTAAATGGAAAGATGTTTAAGGTATTACATAATATCTATGCAAATGTAAAATCATGTGTCAAAACTTTAACCGGATATACTGAATACTTTCAGTACCCTATGGGTGTTCGCCAGGGTTGTATGTTAAGCCCATTCCTGTTCTCCTTCTTTATCAATGAATTATGTAATGAGCTGAATAATTCGGAGCGCCACGGTGTTCAATTATCTCTAGATTTAATTGAATTATTCTGTCTTCTATTTGCGGATGACGTTGCAATTGTATCAGATTCAGTTGTCGGACTCCAGAGGTTATTAGATAAACTAGAATTGTATTGTGAGCGCTGGAGTATGTCTATAAACTTAGACAAGACCAACATTACTGTTTTCAAGGGCGGGGGACATTTATCAAGAAACGAAAAGTGGGTTTATGGAGGGTGGAAGTCCACACCGTATCATACTTTAAATATCTTGGAAATATGTTCTCCTGTAGACTACACTGGTCAATGGCAACAAAACTATTTGCGCAGCAAGCAGGGTCTTTGATACAATGATATTACCAATACTAACGTATGGGGCGGAAATCTGGGGTTTTAGAGAGTGTAAATGTCTAGAACGAGTCCAATATCTTGCCTGTAGAATGTTTCTTCGTGTTTCAAATAGATCACCAAATAGTAGTATTCTAAGAGAATGTGGGAGATATTCTATCTATCTGTACTCAGCGAAACGCTGCATTAAATATTGGGCAAAATTAATTTCCATGCCAAATTCAAGGTACCCCAAGAAATGTTACAATATGCTATACAATATCGAAAGGTCGGGAACCAGAACAAAACACACCTGGATCAGTGACATCCAAAACTTACTTTCCATTTGTAATATGAATGATGCTTGGCTTGCACAAGAAGTTGGAAATGTTAATGTGTTTATAAATACATTTGTGGAACGATTCAAACAGTATCTTTCTTTGGTATGGCGGGCTGACTTATGTACTTTAGACAAGTAAGATACTTACTGCCAATTTAAAACTACCATAGAACCAGAAAGATATTTGTTTTCTGTTCATATTGGAACCCATATGCAATCACTATCTCGACTACGATGTTCATCACATTGTTTACGAATTGAAAAAGACAGAGGTCATCTAGAAAGAGATCAACGTACGTGCGAGCTTTGCAATATGGATTCTATTGAAAACTAGTTCCATTTTTTATTAGTTTGTAATTTTTATAACCACATTAGATGTCTCTATATTCCACACTACTACTGCACCCCACCAACCGTAAATACATTTATCGAACTACTAAAAACTCAAAATGATGTACTTCTACAGCGTTTAGCTGCGTTTGTATTTAATGCTATGAAACTTAGGAGGGAAGCCGCTGAAATATTGTAAATAATTTAAATATTTTGTATTTACTGTTTTGGGCCGATGGCCATGTATTAGTTAATAAAGATCCTATATCTACAAAAAAGGATAGCTGCGATCTAACTTAATAACCTGCCCGTTGATTCGGGCTGACTTGGTTATAGTTTGGTCGGTACAGGGGTTTGTATATATAATAGCAATTTCATACAATTTCTTATTCAGGAAGAAAAATGCGATCAATTACACAGTAAATGAAACTGATCATAGTAGTTGGTCAAATATCATTGTCTGCCCACATGATTACGCATTCGTTCAGACATTTATTTTTCAAGATGGTTTGATTAACAAGTTTATTCACGCGAGTGACTGATATAGACAAATTAACAGATCTGTACATCAACAGAAATATATAAACAATACTATGAATAAGTAAATTATTAATTACATGTTCCAATCTAAT